AGAGAGAGACAGAGAGAGAGAGAGAGATGTGAACAAGGAAATGTTCACACAATTTTACTTTTATTGCTGTTGGGTTCTGTTCGGTTCACTAGGACTCATATCCAACCTATGAACAACAGATCTAAACTTTGCCCTACTATGCACCATCTTCATGATCTATGTCATAGTCAGAGCCCAGGTTGTATATACCACTTCCATTTTATGATAGGATGCTGCTGTGCACATTTAACCATAGGACTCTCTTGTTGCTGTTGTTGTTATGTGCCATCGAGTCGCCTGCGACTCATAGCGACCCTATGTACAACAGCCCAACAGCCCTAAACTCCGCTCTGTCCTGTGCCAATCGCACTGTCTCTGACACTCTCTCTTAGTCAGATAAAACTCAGTTAGAAATGGGCAGCCGAGGTCGCGTCAAGCATCGTGTCTCAGAGGCTTAGTGACTAGTTATTTTCCACTAAGGCCTAGTTGTTGCTGTTGATAGGTGTTGTAGGGTTGAAGACAACTCATGTAACCCTATGAACAACAGATCTGGACTCTGTTCTATGCTCTTCCAATATCGCAATGTCTGACATTCTCAAACCCATTCTCATTTTTATGTATCAGATTGATTATAAAGTTCTGAGAATCCTTTACATATTCTGTATTTTAAACTCATATTAACTACATGATTCCTAATTTTTTTCTTATTTTGTATGTTTAGTAACTTTATCTAAAAAGTTTTACTTTTTTAAAAACAAATGACTTGATCTTTAATAAATATGTATTGTTTGTTGCTGCTATGTGCCATTTAGATGCTTGTGACTCACAGCAACCCTACGTACAACAGCCCAAAACCCTGCTCTGTACTCTGCCAAACTCACTGTCTCCTACAAACCCACCCTGATTACCCCAATCACTGAATCACTATACCTCATAGAGGGTCTTCCCCTCCTGCACTGTACCTCCACCTTCCCAAGCATGATGTCCCTCTCCAAAGACTGGTCCCTCCCTGCAATATGTCCAAAGTATGTGAGATAAAACCTCAGAATCTTTGTCTCCAAGGTGCAGACTGGTTTAACCCTCTCCAGGATGAACCTGTTTGTTTTCTTGGCAGTCCATGGTACATTCAATATTCTTCTCCAGCACCACAGCACAAAGACATCAATTCTCCTTCTGTTCTTCCTAGTCATTGTCCAACTCCGACACATAACAAGTGATTGCATAGATCATAGCTTGTATCAGACACACCTTAGTTTCCGAATGACACCATTGCTCTTCAGTACCCTGGAGAGGTCCCTAAAAGCAGACTTTCCAATCACAATACATCTTTTAATTTCCTGGCTGCTGGTGTCAAGAGTGTTGACTGTGGAGCCAAGCAAACTAAAGCTGTGAACAATCTCTTCACCATCTGTCCTGATGCTGCCAATTGGTCCAGTGAAAAGAATCTTTATCTTCTTGATGTTGAGCCTCAATCCATATTGAAGGCTGTAGCACTTCAGGTCCTCCTCAGTTTCAGCAAGCAGGGTTGTGTCATCTGAATAACACAGATGGTTGATGGATCTTCCACCAATCCTGATGTCACACTTCTACTCATAGAGCCCAGCCTCACGGATAATCTGTTCAGCACAAAGATCGAAAAGATATGAAGATAGGCACATCCCTGGCATACACACTTCCCAATTTTGAACCACGCAGTGTTTCCTTGCTCTGTTCTGACAATCGTCTCTTGGTCCAAGTATAGGTTTCACGTTAGAACTGTCAAGTATTCTTGAATTCCCATTCTTCTTAGAGTCAGCCACAGTTTGTTTTGATGCAGACAGTTAAACGCCTTTGCATAATCAATAAAACAAGACAGACATTCCTCTTATATTCCCTGCTTTTAGATAAGATTCGTCTAACATTAGCTACAATATTCCTTGTATCACAACCCCTTCTAAACCCAGCCTTGACTTCTGGCAGTTCTCTGCTGATGTGCTGTTCCAGTCATTTTTGGATAATTTTCAGCAGAATCTTGCTTGCATGTAAAATCAATGATATTGTTCTATAATTTCCACACTCTGTTGGGTCACCCTTATTTGGAATGGGAACAAATATAGATCTCTTCCAGTCAGTTGGCCAAATGGTTGTTCTCCAGATGTCTTGGCACAACTTGGTGAACACATCCAGGGCAGCATCTGTTAGTGTCTTAAGACACACTGGTCACAGAGTAAGAAATTGTCAGCAGTTGATGTGTTTGGAATCCCAGAAGCCCAGAAAGCTTCAGATATAAGCTATCAGATCAAGGGCTGGATAATGGGAGATAGACATTGAAGGGAGTGGGTAGGAGTGGGTGGGGAACCTAGTGGATGGTGGATCAGGGAACTAAGTCGGTCAAGACATTTGTATCAAGGGCAGGGACAACACTGAAACTAATGGTTAATTCCACAATTATGGATATATCTTCCACTTTTTTCTGTAAAATGCTCGTCTGTAAGATATTTCTCTGAATCTGAGCATTCAGATTCAGACAAACTAGGAAGAAGGATTGGCCATCCACTTCCAAAATAGCAGGCCTCTGAAAACCCTATGTACAACCCTATGTATGTATGTATGTGCATTGAGGAATCTAAAAAAAAAGAGTATAAAGAAAACACTCTGTTTTCAAAGGTATTTAGAAAACATACCTAGGAGTAAGTTTGCCATAGGAAGTAAAGAACTTTTACACTGAAAAAACAAAATAAACGTGTTAAAAACAAACAACAATACAAAACAACTCAATAAATGGAAATACTATCTGAGCTCATAGAATAATGTTCTCCTTCCTTGACTGAATGTTGGTAGGGTGTCCTTACTACCTAAAGAATCTGTACATTAGCTAAAATATCAGCCAATGCATCAACAGATAAGTTCTTATTATTGTTACGAACTCTTTGAGTGATAGGCGAGATGACTTCTTCCAATTAGAAAGTAACTTGGGAAAGAAGATATTCCCCAAGGAAAGAGTCACCTATTAAAGAAGACAATTTGTTTGAGAGTAATATATGTTTTAGAAAGACATCTAGGCTCTGTTTCAATAAAAGTGAATTATTTAACTATTTGAAAAGAAGTTTGTTATTTTATCACTAATTTTATCTCTGCCATCTATGAAGGTAAGCTTAAACTTCACCTTAAACTTCTCTAAACAACTTACTTCTATGAATACCGTGTTTATTTTCATGTGTCTATTTCCATTTTAATTCTAAGGTGAGAACATTGAAGTTTTTGAGTAGAATTTTTTGCTGCTGCTTCCTATTTTTGATAGTTCTCAGAAATATTTCATTTTTCTTATTTTCATGAGTATAAGATGAAATGAGAACTAAGTCAGTAATTTAATGGACAAAAATATCAAAATTTTTCCATCTTCATTTTTAATTTAATTATCACAAAAGCTGCCGTATGTGAGATAAGAACGTAAGTTTTCAACTTATGTTAAATATATGGAAGATATTGCATAAAAACTCAAATCTCGCCTATAGTAATTTGGAATAAAACAGAATGAAACACTGCTCAATCCTTACAACTCTTGCTATGTTTAAACCCATCATTATTATCAATGTGCCCATGGATCACACTAAGGACTGTCATCTTTTAATTACTCCTCTGCATATATGTGTACACATACATATATACATCTATTATATATGTCATTATACATGGAAGCTCTGGTGGTATAGTGGTAAGAATCTGCACTATAATCCCAAAGGCATATAGTTAGAATCCACCAGATGCTCCCTTTTTAGATACCTCTAAAAACCTGCTGAAGTGTAAGGTATGGATTGGTTCCAACCTGCTGGTACTCAACACCACCATAGATGAATGATAGATGGATAGATAGAGTCACCCAGACAGACAGAGGGACAGGTAGCTTTAGTAAATAAACTATCAGACCCAACAAGAAGATCAGAAAAAATATAAAAATAAGCATACTATGTCTTAAGAAAAAGAGAGTTGCTGGTATATTTCTATACTAATATTCATTCTGAGCCGTAAAATTAGTTGCACGTAAAGATTCTTGAAAGTTATCTAGAATTTGAGTAATTATGCATTTATTTTTTTTACTTTAAAGTGGTTTTATGTTGAGAAGAATTTAAATATTCAGAATATTATTTGGCCACTTTATTAAAAAAACAAACAATTGAGGCCAAGAAATATTTTTTTTTTTTCAAGAAATATTTTTTGAAGTATCCTTACAAACAATAGATGTAAAGTGCAGATTCAGTTTGCAAATTCAGTTGCAGTTTCCTCATTGTGTCTTCATGCCTGAGTTGCAGGTTTAAAGGGAGACGAGAGATGACTTAATATGAGCATCCGGAAACATTAGGGTATGCAATTTTCAAGTACGATCCAAGTTCATAACATTAGTGGTAATCATGTTATCATATCTTTAGAATAAAAACAACCACCTATCATGGTGTATTTATATATCTAATCTATATCTATCTATCTCTATATATCTCTCTCTATCTCTATATCATATTGTAAAACAAAAAAAATATTTTAAACACAGTAAGAAAACCTTGAATTTCTATTAATTGTGCTCAAATGTTCAAGACTACAGCAGATACCTGGCAGATTATTTATTTGGGCAATTCAATTGGAATATGATATTTCAAAACAAAATTTTGACACAGCAAAGAAAGCATACCAAATAAAGAAATGATGCCATTTTTATCACTGAACATCATTTTATATTTTCAGGTTTTTATAAATAACAATTTTTTAAAAATTTAAAGTTTAAGCATCATCCCTATTAACAAGAGTATGTTAAGGTATCTTTAAAGTAAATTAGAAAAAAAAATATCACAAAGGAACTGTTTCTTATGGACTGAGATGTTAGGAGAAAAACACAGAAGTACTATTTTGAAAATACACTTGACTATCATTAACAACAACTCCTATTTGTTCTCATGTGGAATTAAATTATAAGGAAAACTGTTGTTTAGTAAGTGAATGTATAGAAGCCACCAAATGAGAAGTAATTGATAATTTTGGTTTAATCATTCTTACAGATGAAACACAAAGTAAAGCAAACACAAGACAATGTCTCTACAGTGAACCAGTTTGTACTCCTGGGATTTTCTGACCTCAAAGATCTCCAGAGCTTTTTGTTTGGAGTGTTTCTCTTCATTTACATGATTATTATATCTGGAAATAGCCTCATCATAATATTAATCAGATTTGATCCTGCATTACAAAAACCCATGTATTTTTTCCTGGCAAATTTTTCCTTTCTGGAAATCTGTTATGTATCTGTTATCCTTCCCAGGATGCTGATGAATCTTTGGAGTCAGGATAGAAGTATTTCTTTGATGGCATGTGCCACTCAAATGTGTTTTTTCCTTGTGCTGGCAGCCACTGAATGTTTCCTCCTGGCGGTGATGGCCTGTGACCGCTATGTGGCCATTTGTAACCCTCTGCACTATCCTCTAGTCATGAACCAAAAAATATGTGTCCAGCTGGCAGTGGGATCTTGGATCGTTGGAATGCCCATCCAGATAGGAGAAACAGTTCAGATTTTCTCTCTGCATTTTTGTAATTCTAGCCAAATTAATCACTTCTTCTGTGACATACCTCCTATTCTCAAACTGGCCTGTGGGGACACTTCTCTTCATGAGATCATTGTCTATGTGGTAGCTATGCTGATTGCCGCAATACCATTTATGTGGATTCTTGCCTCCTACAGCAAAATTATTTCCACCATCCTGAAGTTGCCAACAGCCTCAGGAAGAGCTAAAGCCTTCTCCACATGTTCCTCTCACCTTCTGGTCGTAGTTTTGTTTTTTGGATCTGCCACGATCACCTACTTCAGACCCAAGTCCAATCATTCTGCTGGATCAGACAAGCTCCTCTCCCTTTTTTACACCATTGTGACGCCTATGTTTAATCCCATGATATACAGCCTCAGAAACAAGGATGTTATTGCTGCACTGAGAAAATTATTCCTTAAAAGGTAGTATGATGAAGAAGAGATAAGTTAAATGGTCACAAGCAGGAGAATGTGATACACACCCACAAGGAGAAAGGAAGTCAGAATACACAGCACGACACAAATGAAAGTTGAAAAAACTTCATGCTAAATGAAATATGTGAGTTATGTGAGGACAGTTGATTGATAATCTCTGTTATGTGAAATAAGCAGATGTCTAGAAATCAAGATTCTTAAAGATTAAGGAGATGCGTAGGAAGGGAGGTTAGTTTTTGTCTCAGAGACATTAAGTTGGTATTAATACCAGCAATTGGGTTAATAAATATGCAAAACAGTGTTTTCAGTGACAGTGGATTATACATGCAGAAATTGTGAATGCTTTGTTGTGTTATCTCACTACATTGTAAAAACTGCTATTATGAGTTTATTTTTAATAGGTAACTGGACTATTAGTTTTAGTATATGTTGCATACTATGAGAGAAGCATTTCAATCTCTATTCCCCTTGCTGACTAGCTTGAAGTTTATGATGCTCAGGTAAATAGCTGAAAAATTGAGCTATATTTAATAGTATATACCTAAATAACAACCTTGTTATGTACTTATGGAGGACCTGAAGCACATACTTGCTGTATAAGATCAAGGACTGTAGCCTTCAATATGGACTGAAGCTCAGATATACCAATTTTTTTCTCCCAGTCTGTAGATTACCTCTTCACCTTGTGTTTAAAATGCTTACACAAAAATCATTTAACAATCTGAAAAGGAAAGTAAGGCATGAATTATTTGCCAAGCCATTTAAAAGAAGGAGGGACTGGAGAGCATTATGCTGAGTGAACTAACTCAGACCCACAGGACAAATATTGTATAAAACCACCATTATTGTAGTATGAACATAAGGATCCAAGAAGGGTGGGAAAGGGTGGGAACAGAGGGATGAGGATGTGCAGGAGGAAGGGGGACTAATCATGAGGTTGTACAACTTGATGAGGGCGGGATGAAAGAAATTGAAAGAATTTGCTCTTAAAAACAATGTGTTCAAATTTTGTAAATAAACTAGAATAAAATTTTTAAAAAATAGAATACCTAGGAACAAAATTTACCTAAGGAAGTGGAAGGATTTTTCTATACTGAAGGCTATAAAATATTACAAAAAGGGAAGGATAATCTATGCTCATGGATGGAAAAACTCAGAGCTCTGGTAGCCTAATGGCAGGAAGCAGCCCTGCAATTCTGAAGACACATGGCTGGAGGCCACCAGCTGCTCCAAGGGAGAAGGAAGTCTCCTACTGTGTGATTAACTGCTTCTGAAAAGCCCTGGGAGGGTCAGTTATGGGTGGGTTCCAACTCAAAGGTACTCAACAATAACAACAACAAAACAGGTGTCTATACCTAAAGAAATACATAGAGTCAACAGAATCTCCACAAATACATTGAAAGATGTATTTTGATTATTTTTCTCTTACTCCTTGAATTACATACAAAATTGTGTTGTGTTGTTTTGCACTGTTGAGTTGCAATAAACTATTAGCTGACCTTACAGTGGATTTTCGAGTGAATTGCACTGAGGAGATAGAACATCTTTCTTCCACAGAGGAGTTGGTTGGTTCCAATCTTTCACTTCTGAGATTGCAGTGAAAGGTCTTACCACTAGGCCACCAGAGTTGTCTTAGAAGACAAAATTGTTCCGTTCAAGTAGAAAGTAAATTAGGAACAGGGTTGTTCTCTTGAGTCAAGACTATTTTCTATTTAAAGACAACTCTTTATTCTAATTAATAGAATATCTTTTAAAAGGTGTCTAACTTCTGTCTCCATGGAATTAAAGTAAGAAACTATTACAAACCCTTCTATGTCACTTTCTATTTATGTAGCCCTGTAAAGATAACTAGTCAAACAAGTAAAGTGAAATAATATTGCCCAATATAATTTTTTATACATATTTGAAGCTTTAAGCTTCAATCAGCAAAAAGCATGTACTATTAGAAAACTAAAAAAAGATTCTTTAAAAAATACTTCTTAGTTTCAAACACTCTTCTTACAGTCATTGTAAGCTTCCTCTTTTCATAACTAGAAAATCAAATAAGAACAAAAAGTGAAAAACATTTAAGATATGAACCATATATCAAAAAGCTTATTGTCTTCAACATTCTAATCATTATTAAAACCTAACATGTATGGATACTTTAATATGTGCCTTGCATGAATTGAAGTTTTAAGAATGCATTAAATCAACAACAAAAAAAGAATGCATTAAATCTGTAATTCTAACTCATATTTATATATTGTTGTTAAGGGTCATAGAATCTTAGAAGACACATAGCGGGTTTATGAATGAAATTCTTGAACACAAATCTTTCATCTTTCTCCAAGTTCACAGAGTTTAGAGACACAAGCCTTTTTTGGTGTTTGGGTTTTTTGGGTTTTTTTTTAAGTGGATGCCACTCCTGCTTCCAAGCCAGTTTTATTTGGGAGATCCACATAAATCAGGTCTGAGGGCCCAAAAGCCTTTTTAAAGGGAAGGCAAAGTCCTATCATGTTTACACCCTATTGGGAGCAAGAGCCACACCCTAATCTCAATCCCAAACCAGAAAACACACCTCCGCAGAATCTACAGTTCCACTCATCTTTTCAGCCTGGAAATAGCCACAGACTGGCAGCCAAAAAGCCTTTTTAAAGGCATGGCAAATCACGTATAAATAAGAATACATGTATAATTGATATATAATTTGTTGTTGTTAAGTGCCGTCAAGTCTCAGGCAACTCATAGCAACTCTATGAAGGAGAGTCCTCAATGCTTGTGTGTCTTTCATCCTCCCTCAAGGGTCATAGGGTTTCCAGAGACAAGCTATTACAGAAGCGGACGCCACTCCTGCTTCCAAATACACACACACACACACACACACACACACACACACGAAAAATAGAAATTCCAGCATGTGCATCTAATTATTTTCTTTTTGAGTTGTTTAAATAATACTTCTAAAAATTTGGAGAAAAAGATAGAATTGCCAATGATTTCTTACATCCACAACAAAACAAGTTTACTTGCATCCACAACCACCGTCCATAGTAGCAACAGTTAAAAAAATCAAATATGTGTTGCAGTGGGCAAATCTGTTGCTGAGAGCAAGAATGTCACTTTATAGACTAAAGCACCTCGAGCCATGGGGAGTCAAGCCATGGAATTGCCAATTGCTTTATAAGCATTGAAAGCTGAAGAATAACGACTGAAGGAGAATTGATGCCTCTGAATCGTGGTCTCCTTGAAGAAGACTGAATATTTTATGGACTGCCTGGAGAATAGATAAATGTATCTTAGAAGAAGTGCAATCAGAGTCCTCCTTTGAAGCTAGAATGGTGAGAGTTTGTCTCACATAGTTTTGATATGTTGTCAGGCATGACCGCCAGTCCTTGCAAAGTTATCAAAGGAGAGGGAGAGCTCAAGGAGATGAGTTGATGCAGGGACTATGGTAATAGAGGAGAGTTCAGCAGGATCTTGCAGGGTTCATTTAGTTGTACGGAAGGTTGTTGCTAGGAGCTTGGGCGAATTTGATGACACCTAACAATAAGTTTTTCAGAAATCAAGTAAAATTAGTCTAATTTTGTCTATCTTACCTTCAAAGTGCCTTTATATTGAGATTGATTTTTTAAGATTCATAACATTATTTCTCCATTTTATGGAAATGGAACATATTAAGGAAAAAAATTGAAATTTTCAATAAAATAGAGCACCAGATTTGGGTTTGAAATTTTGCACTTGGATTTTTCCTTTTATCTGTTTTTTTCATTTTATTTTAAGGTTTCTTTGCAAATTCTTCACTGCTTGATCAGTGGGGTTTAACGTTGAGAGAATATCTAAGCCTAACAAAATAATTTTTTTAAAAGGTCAGACACAATTATGAGAATACATTCCTGAGGACAAGAGTCACATTGTGATACATGACGCATGATGGTAAAGAAAGTTCAGTAAATAATTGTATTCTCTCTCATGCATTTCGGCTCTAGATTGAATGCAACCAATGAATAAAGTACAGTTTCTTATTTTGTAGAAGAGTGAAGTGAAAGGAAGTATGGTTTGTGAAGTCTCTTAGAACTGAAATCATATTTTAGTAACATAATCTGCCAGCTGCTACAAAGAACAAGGATAGGCAATCTCCTTGTGTAATTAGAGAACCAACTGCTTCTGAGAACCCACTGTGGGGGTAGGGGGGTTTAACCTATGGGTCAGTTCTGACTCAATGGTACACCATCACAACAACAATGTGTTAAACACTCCTTTCTGACCATCCTTCATGTTTAGTTGTTGGATCTTTTGTATTCAGGACAATCTGATTTTTTTTAAATATTTTAATTTATTTATTTTTCATTTCAATGAACATCTACAGAGATTTTGGAATTCCATTCATTCATGTGACAATCTGATTTTTATTGGAAAAATTGTGTCCCATACTGATCGTAGAAATGCCTTCAGTGATTATTATTATTTAGAACAGAGTTGATGCTATAGAGTTGGGTTGTGAGCCTTTCTTTTATTCATAGAAAATGCACAGGATTTCCAAATTGAACTTGGAACATTGCTATTGTATCCATTGTGTCTACTCCAGGAGACAATGTGAATTTATATATTTTTATCATGGTTAAGTGCAGCCAAATAGGTTCCAACTCACAGATGGCCTATGGTCAACAGAATGAAATACATCCTAGCATGACATTATTCTCACAATCATTGGTATATGTTTATAGGTGAGTCTCCTTTTTGCAAAGTGTTACTTTCAAGTGATAAGTCTCTGAGTAGTACAGTCATGCTCTAGAATACTAGTCAGTAGTTCGGCAGTTGGAATTCACTGTGAAATTGTCTGGGAATATAGTCTTAGAAACCCAGTGGAAGAATTACGCTCTCTACAAATTGAGTTTGCGTAAGTTTGAAAGGCCTCAAAGGAAATGAAAACAGTCTGTATTGACATTCAAACTCATTAACAAATAATATATATGTTATCTAGCACTATTTAAAATAGTGACTTTGTATCTC